TTCTAAGAGAACCATCGGCCTTTTCTGAAACAATATAGGAGCTCCGTATGGCGACTTCACAGGCACAATGATTCCACTTTCCAACATTTCTCCCAATTGTTTCCTAAGCTTTTCAAGCTCAGGCTGAGACATACGGTATGGTGCCCTAGCGGGAGGTTTGGCGCCTGGAATAAGTTCAATCTCATGATCATTCGTCCTTCTTGGTGGTAATTTCTTTGGTAATTCTTCTGGCATGATGTCCTCAAATTCCTGAATAAGCCTTTTAACGAGTTTTGGAATAGGACCATTCGCCTCTTTGATCTCCTCTAATCGAAGAGTGCACAAAAAAGAGGGTTCATTTCTCTTGAAATCCTTACTAAATTGCATGGCTGAAATACGCTTCTCGCCCATCCTCCCAACCCGTGTAGGGATGACACACGGCTTATCACCCATCATCATTAACGAATCGGAATATGGCAACACTGCTATCTTAATATCCCGAAAAAATTCCAATCCTAGAATAAGCTTGAAATCATCCATCTGAACTGCAGATAAGTTTGTCCTTCCCTCGAAAGGACCTGCTTTGATCAACACCGATTTCGCCACTCCGGCTATTGGTTGAGCAGCAGAGTTGATTGCTTTGACTTTTCCACTACCTTTTTCTAAAACAAGTCCGAGCTGCTCTACTTCGGTACATGCAAGGTAGTTGTGGGTAGTACCAGTATCCATCATAGCCCTGATTGGCTTCCCATTGATTTTTACATCAATGTATATTAAGCCTTTTGCCCTACAAATTCGAGCCTTCGCTTCTTCCATCTTTGCTTCTTTCAATGAGATATTATCCTTTTCAGCAACCCGATGCGACAGTGTGTTGCACCGATGTGAAAATGCCCCAACTACGTCCTCATCCTCTTCAGAGTAGATCTCACTATGACAATTAGCCTGTGGGGCCTCTTGCTTTGAACTTGACTCGCCACTTGCTAACTGACAATATGCATTCACCATCCGCTTCTGAGGACACTCCGACACCCGATGAGGTCCTTCACATAAAAAGCACTTCAATTTGGGAGTGGCATCAGTTCGGCCCTCCGTTGCTTTTCCTTTGTTCCAGTTGTTACTGTTGCTGTCGTTAAAATTTTCTTGATGGCTATTATGATAGTTTCCCCGAAAGCCGCGGGCGCTTTGATAAGCTCCTTCTCTATTCTGAGAGTAACGCTCTCCCCATTTGGATTCGAGTTGGGTCTGTAAGATTTGTTACCACCTCCAATTGCTTGATTACTCCCCGAAGGTCGATCTTTTCTAAATTCTTCTTGGTAGTCGCTCAAGCATTTAGCGGCTCCCATGGCCGTGCTCAAATCAGTAACCTTCTGTCTTTAAAATTTCGTGTGTGTCCACGGTTTCAACCCTTCCATAAAGGTGAAGAGCTTATCCTTTTCCGACATATCTCAAATATTCAGCATATGCCCTGAGAAGGATTTCACATACTCCCCGATAGAGCTCGTGTGTTTCAGGTTTCGAAATGCCCGTTGAGCCTAATACTCAACATTTTCCGGGAAAAACTGCAATCTGATCGCTTCCTTAAGGAGATCCCAAGAATCTATTCGAACCCTGTGGGCCTGAATGTCAGCATATTTGGTTCGCCACTATAGTTTTGCATCTCCACCCAGATACATGGTAGCTGTGGTTACCTTTCTAGCTTCGTCTTCGATCAAAGCTGCGAGAAAGTACTGTTCCATATCAAACAAGAAGTTTTCGACTTCTTTTGCATCACGTGCCCCTCCGTAGGTACAAGATTCAGGAATTCTGAGTCTAGGAGCATACTCAGGTACAGGAGCTTGCCCATTGCCCACCGTACGTTGGAGTACCTGCAATTGAGCTCTCAACGCTTCTATTTCATCCTTCGGATCAGGAATGATTGCAGCAGCTTCAGTTATTGCTGCGCAAGCCCTTTGGCATCCAGTTGGATGTGTAATCCACGAATCTCGGATTCGGCTATCTCGACTTTTTCCTCGAGACCTTCCAAAGCATAGTACAACCTAGTAGTTGTCTCATCAAGTGCATCTACGCGCTGTTTAGTAATACCCTTCTTTTGAGGCTCTACCACTTCAGTGGTGTGGGATGTAATTGGATCCATAGTTTTCTTATCGAGGGTCGTGAGCCGCAGCTCTGATACCAACTTTCACGGGGTGCCTTCTTGGTACAAAAAGGGACACCGTGCGACAGTAGTCTGCTCCGCTAGACTACCTTCCGCCTTTTTTCGATCGCGTCGGGACGAAAGAAAATTTGATTACAATTTTGTAGAAAGCGTACAATAGAGAATTTGAATACATTGAAAATAAATTGAACATTGATTGATGAAAACTGAACATTATAATTGACGAAAGCAAAAAATTACAATTGCTGGTGCAGGGGGCGGACATCAGTGAGTTTGAAAGATTTTTGAATGACTAATACCCCTTATAATAGCATTCTGAACAAAAACCTAAGTGATAGGAGTAGACGTTTAAAAGACGAGGAATCATACCAAATGTTTACCAATATCAAAGCTATTTTACAATTGAAATAACTATTACAATGAAAAGAAAATTACAACTCAAACTTAAAATAATATTTACAATGTGCGGCCAAAGTTGGACAAATTGCGGCTGCGATAGTGTCAAGGGGTTAAGTAAAGCTGCGGTTCTTGACACTTGGGCATGTAAATTTGTATTCTTTTCTTCGTTTGACACATTTTCTACGAGAGAAAAAAAATAAAATCCTTTTAGCAATTTTTTGTGTTTGGCCCCCATTCTTAGCTAATTTTAATGGATAGAATAATATTTTTTTGAAAAATGTGTAGCTGAAAAAGAATGAAAAGTTTTTGATTTGTGTGTAATATTATTTTATGAAAAATTATGTGGTTGAACATAAGAGAGAGAAAAAGGATGAGAAGGACCAAACATGGAAATTTCATCAATCAGCTTCTATCCGTATAGCATTGTTAATATTATACACAAATGAAGCCAGCTTCTATCCGTACTCGCTGGGTTGATCCAGTCTTCTTCTCATGACATGATCACAGCACTATTAAATTTTTGTACATTATTACAATATATAAATTAATATACCTCCACATATGTCAATGCTCTATTCACATCTCTCTTATTTATCAATTAAGTCAAGTTGTCAGAAAAATTTTGACACTTTGAAAGTCCTATTCTCAAATGTGTGCGGGGTCTGTGTGGGACTCATATAAATAAAGAATGCAAAAAAATGTCCCCCAACTACCTCTATTATGAATGTATGTCAACTAGGATGTAAAAAAATTTCATACTAACATGATTGCTTCTTTATTCACACTTTAGACTGGTTAGTGTAAAACAAAAAACAAGCAAGGTTATTTTTCTGTACGGATTTGAAATTTTAGACGAAAGGAATCTATATGGCATCATGCGAAGTCTTTGGTCTAAATTTAAAACGTGTCAAGTAAAATGAATAATATAAAAATCTAATTTTTACACGAATATACGGTCGAAAACAAAATTTAAATAATAAAATTATAGCGTAATGATCGAGTATACTTGCTAGTTCACTTATAAATATATTTTAAAAGGGCGATCATAAATCTATGATTTCTAACTATATTTGTTCTATCAGTTAGATCTTTCATTATTTATTTATTTTTGTCAATGAAGAATTTGTCCAACCTGAAAATGGAATTTGACTAAGTGATTCATAGATTAGCAGGCCTGAGTCGTCATTTTTAGAACTTTGTGGGATGGGTAACGAGAGCTGATTTCAAAAATCCTTATCGGATTCTACTGTTGTCGAGCTTAAGAGTGGATGATAATCCCCAATCAAGAGTTGGATTCTAGCTTTTCGATTTGATCTTAAGCTCTGCCATACATATTCAAAATTCATGTTGGTTGATGAACGGGCATCTTCTTCGTTTTCATTTCTAGCTCCTCTTTCTCTCCTCACTATGCGTCCCCGAAATGTAGTGATTACAAAACTAACATGTCATCATGAAGTAAAATATTTATTTCCTATTTTTCCCCTCTACACTATTTTCAAATCATTATATTATTATATTTGCCTATTTATTATGATTTTCAGACTTTGCATACAGATGAGATCACTTTAGTTGAAAAATATCATTATAAATATCGTTATAAAATGTAAAAATTAGAAAATGTGACTTTTGTTTCAACAAATATATCGACATATATCTAGCAAATCCACATAAATATATATTTTAGGATAATTTTTTAGTGATAACTGAAACTTCAATAAATTTTCCAAAATATTGGCATAAAAAAATAGCTTAGATAGTAAAAACTTTAAAATAATTTTAGCCGTAGCAATTTTTTACTCCAAAAACTCAATTTTTTTTATCGTTATTTCACTATTCCAGTCGTCATTTTTTACTTTTTCACTCACAAATAGAATCCATTTTTCTCTCTAACGTGTTGGGAATCTACTTATACATGCACAGCGGAAAATTAAATTATTTCGATTCCCATCCAATAGATCTCATTGTGTTTGGTTAGGAATTGTGATAAGATTGTACCTTTTTCAGATCTGCAATCCTTTTGCTTTTCTTTTCGTTCCACAGCTTTGATTCGCCACCACAGCTGTCCAATTGTCCAGCCTCCAACGGTGATCCACACAGAGAAAATGATTGCAGCCTCTAGGGTTTTCTCTTGTGCTAGCAAGAATAATGAAAACCTTAACGGACCTCAAACCCTAATTATGTATTTATATAAACCCAAACAGGCTCGGCCCGGTCCGACCCAATAATTAATTAATCCAATTAATTAAGCCCGGTCCATGAATTAATTAATCCAATTAATTAATTCAAAATATAAATAACAAATCCAATTAATTAATTTATCCAACGATTGTTAAATTAACCAATTGGCAATTTGCAATCTTCCAATTCTCTTTTGTGTGTGACCCATTAGGTTCCCGACCACGATGCCTAACGACGTGAAATATTATTTTGATCTAATCAAAATTGATAAATTAAAACACCCGGAGAATAGCTTGCAATCCACCGCCGCGCCAGAGAGTCGTCGGCCGTCAATCTCCACTTCTCAGAGCCGCTGGCCGTCAATTGCATCCGATAGGTCCTCACAGACAAGTGGAAGACGGGTATATTTCCAAACTCAGTTATATTTGTTACCGATTAAGTCGAGAAAACACAGTATTAATTTTCTTCTACATTTCTTGAATATAGGGTGGAATGGAGTTCTTCAGCAAAGCTAAAGCAGTTAGACTCCAAAGTCATCTCGGCAAGTACCTGGTAGCAGATGAAGACGAAGAAACAGTCCGGCAGAGCCGGAACGGTGCTTCACACAAGGCACGATGGACAGTTGAATTCATCGAAGGAAAAAATACTGTAATCCGCCTTAAGAGCTGCCATGGCAATTACCTCACGGCGGCGGACGAGCCATTTCTTCTCGGCATGACCGGAAAAAAGGTTCTGCAAACTATTCCGGCAACGAAAATGGACGCTTCAATTGAATGGGAGCCTGTAAAAGAAGGGAACTGCGTGAAACTAATGACCAGGGAAGGGAAATTCTTGAGGGCCAATGGAGGGACGCCGCCATGGAGGAATTCAATAACTCATGATATTCCACATAGAACAGCAACTCAAAACTGGGTTTTGTGGGGAGTGGATATTGTGGATATTTGTATATCGGACTCGGATTCGGGGTCGAGTTTCCTATCGCGGACCTCAAGTTTTTCCTCATTGCCGGAGGATTATACGGGTTCGCCGGATACAGGGTCGCCGATTATCCAATCTAGAAGGTCATGTAACGACTCCATGAAACAGGTACTTTCTTCTACACTTACAATATGAAAATAAATTTTTTTAATAGTGAACGTACAGCTGAAAAGTAAAAACGAAATTTGAATACGTAAAAAATTATTTTATAAGAAAAAAGTATTATTATGAATGAATTAAAGAAAATTTGAAAAGATTATAAAATGGGACTCGAACATGGGCTAAACTTGTTCAAGATATCGAGCAGTGCGACACATTTTAACCCTTTCCTTCTTAAAAACAAGTTGAGATCTGTTATCAACTTTTGCTATCTAATTTTCTGTCTACTCAATTGTAAATTGACACATCATGAAAAATTAAAGTTGTCATCGATTTTAATTTTTCATGATGTATCAATTTATAATTTGATATATAGAAAATTAGACAGTATAAATGGATGCCGGATCTCAACTCCTTTAAAATATGGCATTTAGCCATCGAATTAAAGCTCCAATAATTTGTGTAAGGTACAATAATAGTTGAGTTAGGTGAAAGAAGTTAGAACGAGTAAATAAAGTCAACATGCATGATATAATATAAAAAGATTCCTTTATTTCTAGCGTCATTTGCTATTCTTAATTAAATTATACATGTCACGAAGTCAATTTCTCGCCACTAGATATTAGCATTTGTTTGATTCTCAGTATTTGTCCATTAAAATGAAAAATACGACTGTTATTTATCATATTAAGTCGTTATATTTGATTTTATATTTCTTGTGTGAAACTCGTAAAGCCTATATTTTTCATTTTTATTTTTACATTAACGTGTACCAAACGGGACCTAATAATTTCCACCTATTTAGAGGCGTGAAAAATGCCCCATTATTTAGAAACCGAATAGGGATGAATGTTTACTTAGGAGAGCCGGTATACTCTTTATCGATCAACTCCGTATTGAATTTGACACGATTCGCTTTAATTCTATAGAACTTCAAATTCGGCATATTTTTGATGACATGAATGTCAATCGATCCAAGAATCTTGTGTTGACAACTGCATAAAACATGTTTGATTTTGTTTAGAAGTTACTTTCTTAGATTGCAAGTTAGGACTTACTTTTCTAGAAAATTAATTCCTTGATTGGTAGCCATTATTTGAAAATTCTATTTTTTATATACTCATTTTAAACAACACATTCACACAATAAATTATTCTGTATGTAAATTCAAAACTTTTTCTTATTTTATAATCACACATTTTCCACAAAAAATATTATTAGAGTCCGTTTGATTGCAAAGATGTAATTGAATTGAATTGAAAACGAATTCCAGGGAATTGAATTGCCTAAAAATTATTTTCTTGAGAATTGTAAATTATTATGTTTGATTGGGATAAATTTTCATGTGGAAAATGTTGAAATAAAAATGTTTTTTGATCTTCGTTTGACTTGATTTTACATGAAAATTGTCAATTAAAAGGATAGATTTTACTGGTATTAGGAATAAAATTTGTTTCCATTGTCAACACAAAAAAAAAACAAAAATTTCAAGAAAATCATTTATCTTTTATTGTTCGTTTGACTTTGTTTTACATGAAATTGTCATTTAAAGGGAAAATTTTATTTACAATAATTCTTAGAATTTATTTTCATTGCCAACAAAAAAATCGAAAAAAAAAATATTACAGTAATCGAGAATTCCAATTCTCATCATTTTGGTGAGAATTGGAATTCAAGGAAAATATGGAAATTAGCTTAGTTGCATAAAAGGTGGAATTCGAATCTTAAGAAAAATTGTGTCAATCAAACAACAAAAAAATTGAAAAAATGAAATTTGATTTCCATTTTCCATAAAATTGAGTTACAATCAAATATAGCCTTAAAAACATTATTTTTCAACAATAATGACCATCAATCAATCACAATCAGGGGCTACATTTTGTTAAAGCAAGCAAATAATTGAGGTCTCTGCTAGGGCAATAAATCAAAAGGACACCAATTTGCGTAATCTCCGGCTCATACATTGAAATTTCTAATTACCCTAACCCAAAAAATATAAAATAATGCCTTCAATTTAGCCTAATAGATAACAAAAAAGGAAATAGAAAAAGAAAGAGTGGGACCTAATTAATTTTATAAGATTTTGTTTATTTTTTCACATTACACTTAGTCTCCAAAAGGACCAAATGAAGGTTTGATCAAAACCAAATCCATCTGCGGATATTTCTGCAAAACCACCCCATAACAGAAATTATCCCCTTCATCTCTACCAAAATCAAATATATTATATAGATTGACATATTTCATAATTTAATCCAATTTCATCAAGTTATTTTTTCCTTATTTTCAGGTCTCCGGCATGGAATTTTTCAAGAAAGCGAAATCCATCCGACTTAAGAGCCATCATGACAAGTATTTAACAGCAGGCGACAACGAAGAATCCGCGATCCAAGATCGTGCTGGCTCGTCGAACAATGCTAAATGGACGGTCGAGTTTGTTGAAGGTGTGGACAATATCATACGTTTGAAAAGTTGTTACGGAAAATACCTTTCAGCCTCGGACGAGCAATTTCTTCTAGGTGTGACCGGTAATAAAGTTGTTCAAACTTTTCCACGAAAATTGGATTCATCGGTTGAATGGGAGCCTATACGAGATGGTATGAAAATAAAGCTTAAAACAAGATATGGGGATTATTTACGCGCAAATGGAGGTTTGCCTCCTTGGAGAAACTCGGTAACTCACGATATTCCCCATAGACATCACGATTGGATTTTATGGGACGTCGATGTTGTTGAGATTCGACAAGAATCGCCACCAAAAGTTTCGCAATCTGAATCGTTAGAGGATGATGTAAACTCATCATCCTTTCGTCTAATGTCCCCTGCATTCCCAAATGTTCAGGTTTGTTCTCATTTTTGGCATGTTATTACACAGTTTTTGACAAGTTTAGCGTACAATCTTGTTCAGTATTGCGTATTAAATGTTAGGGTATCAATCACACATCTACTAGTTACTGAAATATAGACCAATATCTCCTCCAAGAAGCAATTCATTCATATTAAAACTCAAAAATGAGCATATGGATTTCTAGATTAGTCTGCTCAAACGAGTGATCATCTTCTGCATGCATGTTAAGGGATAAATCGCACAAATGCACTTCTATTTTACTGTATGCTATGATTGTGTATAAATTATATTCTCATACGTAGCCGTTTCGATGCACAGCCTGGTGGTTTGTCTGATGACTCACCGAGAAAATCTGAAGGACGGCTTATATATTACAATGTCGCCGATGATTATGGTAACGTTAACGATGCGGTCGAAGGGCCTTCTTTTCAATTCAAAGGGCATGGATTGGAGGAATTGACAGAGAAATTGGCAGAAGAAACAGGGCTTGAAAACATAATTGTTTGTTCGCGTAATCGAGTAAATGGAAAGCTTTATCCGCTTCGGTTGTCTTTGCCTCCCAACAATGCGACTATGCACGTTGTTGTAGTTCCCTCAACATCCCGAGGTTCGTACACTTCGTGCTTCAATAGTACTTGACGATATAATGAACAAAATTGAAGTTTCTTTTTCTTTTATCGAGTGATATCCAATCTTGACTAAGCGAACTTTATTTTGTG